ATCTCAGTACTCCGGAAGCTTTTACTCTGCAGGATATTAAAAGTCGATTTCGATTTGTTCACGATAACGGTACAAATAAAATGTTTAAAACATATTGCCTACTTCGCAACTCCTGGATATTGGACTTATAACAATTCATTTTCTGTGTAGATACGTAGGTATTACAATTGGCATGCTACCAAAATGGAGGGCTTTCCGAATTGTATTGCCAAGAAAAAATGCTGGTTTCATCTAGCTCCATCTAGGTCGTATAAGTTACTTTTCGCTCGCGTCAACACTAATTATTTAAATTTGTTTGTGCGGCACAATGAGTGTAATAAATTAATTATTATAATTTTACAAAGTAAGTTATAATTATTTTTATGCAAGTCAAAGCTTTGGTCAGCTTACTAACTAATCACTACTGACAGAGTTTTCTTAGTAAACTATTCGAGAATATTGTAGGTGCATATAAGTATGCAGTGTTTAAACTACTTTTACAAGTACAATTATAGGGTAAGTAGAAGTGTTATCCCTGTACAATGCAAATGCTATTCATATTTTGCTTCAATAAATAATATTTATGTAATGTAATCCACACTCGTGCTATCAGTGAAAGAGTACTAGAGAGTAAGAAACCAATAATAATATAGCTACTGCTCGACTCCGGAATTGTACCAAGGACTTTGAATTTGTACTTCATTGCTCCAGTAACAGTAACATTAAACTAATAGACTAAACATCAACTTTTATGTTTAAAAAAATATGTTTCGATATGAATAGAGATAATTCAAGCATTGAATTTTAAGATTTATAATACATCCATAGTTTAAACATGATACATCAATGACGTCAGATCATTAAGTGTTTCAAAGAAATCCAAGTTATTGCCGCCTTTAGAACAATAGGTACAAAAAAATAAATAATTAAAGGAACATTTCGCGTTCTCTTTTAAAATTCCCGCCTTTAGTTAATACATAATTGTGGAAGAGCCATGCTTCGGCACGAATGGGCCGGCTCGACCGGAGTGATACCACAGACTCATAAAAGGCCGTCGTGAAACAACGCTTGCATTGTGTTTCGTCGTGTGAGTGAGGTTATCGGTGGCCTAATTACCCGCCCCCCCTCATCCCCAACTATCCTTAAATTCCTAATCCCAAAAATGTAAAATATTCATCATCATCATGATCATCAAAACCCGAAAGAGGTCCACTGCTGGACAAAATAAAATAAACCTGTAAAAATAATAATAAAAAAATAGATGTTGTAAAAAACAAACCTTTAAAATTATTGACTCGTACCTACAACAAAATGAACAGCAACCAATGGCCCAGCTGCTATGTGAACTTGGTAAGTAAATACATAAGTTGATCCTATATTTTCTTAATATAAACGTAAGTAGAAGTTAGAGGTTCCCTATATAGACCCCTGTCGTACTAACTACCTACTCACAGAGCTTTGCTTGGGAACTTTTTAATACAAGCTAAGGCTTAAAATAGGACATACAAAGTTACATAAAATAACCTGTAACAATTATTACGTCCCAATTTGTCCAATTACAGTATTTATGTCCCCCTAAAAATATAATATTCCATTCCATTTTATTTTCGATCGACAGCTACGATAAATACGTTCACAACCCGATTCACCCTTCCTTACGAAAACATGTACTTATAGCATTACAAATATGGAAAGCATGTCAGCAAATGTTTTTAACGCTGTAATAAGGAACTTGTAAAGTAACTCAACAGGCAGGCGTGCCGCATGCGCCCTTGCAGCAGGATCACTTTATACTTGAAAGTTTTCAGTCGGCGCGCCACCACGGAGTCGCGCGGTGGTCGCGTGTCAGCCTCCCTTCTCCCACTTTCCCTCGAGTGCGGAAACATCCGGGAAACATTTGACAAGTGTTGAGAGACTATGAACTATTCAATACACTTCGTGTTCCTCATAGTGTGCTCAAGTTGGTATCGATTGTTTATTTATTACTATGTAAATTTAGTTTACGTTGTTTCTATAAGTTACTATTGCGTGTTTGAAAGTTTCTGGTGTGTAATTTTCCCGTCATCCTGCCTGATTGTAGGCGATTGTGCTGTTTTGAGTAACAATGACGCCCTTTGTTTCGACTGCTTTCATGACGTGTACGTGCCGGCGGCGAAATTATTAAAATTCGTTTGTTGAAGGCCGCGCAATCATTTCAGAATAAATCATGAAATCAGAGGAAGGAAGAAGACAACTCGAAAACAAGTCCTAATCATTCCTTCGAGTTATTCTGAAATTTTCTTTAATTATTGATAAAGTATGATACAGTTTTCTCATCTACTTTTATTGATGACATGGGTATAACAAAATACGAAATGATATGAAAATTAAAAACATTCAAACGTTTTTGTATAGGAAAATAGCTGTACAATCTTATCATCATGATCGGTGATTATCTAAATGAACTCGGTATAAGTACATTAATCATATCCTATCCTTTACAAATATTACTTGGATGATACTAACCACCAGTATTAACAAACAAAGAGAATATGCACAAAAAATAAAAGCACTCAAAATAACTTTATTGGACTATTTATTTCTAGCGTTAATGGACAGCCAGACTACTATATACATTCTAAATTCGTATTCCATTTAACTGAAAACGAACTTCCAAAACTACACACGTCCGTTATAATAAAATTAAAATCTTGAGGAAGAGTTACAAACTTTTAAACTACGTCTAAAACTCATTCCTGACACTAACTCGTAGAATAAACAATTAATGGTTCAACTATTAAATGCGAAATCATGCAAAACAGGTTTATTTGCATGAAAGTTCAACTTTTGGACGTAATTAACTTGCTCGTAATGTATTTAGGTACTTGGAGTTAGTTAGCGGCGGTTCGAAACAGGTGTCAACTTATAAAGCTTTGTGCTGTTCGTGATACTTAACTTTATACATTGACAAACTGCTGGTAACTCAGTTAACTTGTCTCACTTTGATCAAATTGAGTGTCGTTATTGATACATGTTACGTTGGATACTGTTTTAACACATTTTCGTTCACAATTTGTTTCCCTTTAAAATTCGATAAAGTCGGTTACGAAATTCAAGTGAAAGAAATATATTATTACAAAAGTCGGTACATACTTACATTTTTAGGTCATGAATTACTTTGTTTCTCATGAATAAATAAGACTAAATATATTATTTGGATCATAGAACGATCTAGATGAAGGTCTATTGTTTTTTTATAGAGGTAGTTATATAAACTAAAAAAATAACTGATAAAAAGTAAGATCTCATCTATTTTTACTTATGTAACGTTGTTTATGTGACCCAAGAGACATTTGAGCTGGCATTTTTACTGGTTTCTCTCCATTATGTCTACTAAAAAGTTTAACGGTACCCATCCGTCGAATATTTGATATATAAAAATGATTGAATTAGCGATTTTAACGAAACAATTAAAAAGATAGAAACTAACATTATGTTCTGCGTAGGTACCTACGACGCCATATCAAATACTTTTTTGATATAACTACAAATTTATTTGCGATTCCTAGTAACTATATAACTACATAGTAAAGATATGACGTCAAAAAATATCCCGAAGAAAGAATTCCACGAAAAAAACAAACATCGCTCTTTCATCTCCGAATATAAAAATTACGTAGGTACCTAGGTATATGAAAACCTAAAACTACACTATTATAGGAATTCTGCCTACACCCTCGTGTGCGTTCTTTCCTTCGCTTATTTTTATTCCTCCTCAAAATTGTCAAATTAGAATGAAGACAAGAATATAAGGCACTCTGTACCTAAGTACGTTGCTACCTTTCGTTTTTATTCAAATCAATTTTCAAATATAATTTTCAGCGGTTACAACATTTTCTTTATTCTCCTATCCGCTAGAGACGATACGTCATTTCTGGTTATGCCATCGCCAGGCTATCATCCTAATGAATTTCAGAGGAAATATTAAACAAAGAGCAATAGTCTGATCTCCGATGCATAGAGGTGTCTCAACATATTATTGTCAATAATTTGTTATTGTTTCCAATAAGATTATACTTACAACCATAACGTCAACACAACACGACTGCCTCGTTGGCCGAGTGGTCGCAAGTGCGACTGCCGGGCAAAGGGTCTCTGATTCGATTCCTGGCTATTCTCAGTGGTAGCACGGAGTCTAGATTTGTGCCCGGTATAATTATGGCAATAGGCTCACCCCTTATTACATGGGACTCATAACATAAATAGTGAAAAGTGAGTGTTACATTGTACAGTGGCATCGAGTGCTGTAATGTGCACCTCTGTCTACCCCTTCGGGGATAAAAGGCGTGATGTCATGTATGTTTTACAACGTCAACAAACTTGTGCAATAGGCACACGTAAAATCTATATCTGAAAGAAACATTTGTATTTATGGGCTAAAATGCACCACCATAGATATAATATGTAAGTACGATAAGCTAACGGAACTCGCGCGGATATTGAACGTTAATTTCCTGTAAGTATTGGTTACGATACCGCTCAACTCTACTGTTTCCTGCCGTAATGTAGGCAAACGTACAGACGGGATACAAAACTCAATTCTACAAGTGTCCTCTTTGTGGAAATCGCGATTTTGTAAACATTTTTATCACTTTATTTGGATTTACCGCGATACATTGAAGAGAAAAGATTAATAACTGCTAGTTTCACAATATCCAATTACGTTACGTATTAAATGTATACAACCTACCAATGACGATAGATTGCCTACAATTGCCGCGTCGTGGACGGTTTTCATTGTTTATAAGTAAGATGCGAGCATTTGCCATTTGTGCAATTGTAAATGTTAATTAAACTAAAAATTAATTAATCAGATGTGATTTGATGAGAAATAGGTGCTTGTGTCTCGACACTAATTCCCAAACCTGACAGATAGGTTATTACTTACGATGGTTAAAGAATTTCGGCCAAGAATTGATTGAAGTGCACAGAGATAATGTCGTAATATCACATCAGTCAGTTTTTACGAAATTTGTCTAGTCATGCCATTAGTCTCGCCATGTCAAAGTGAGTCAGAAAACCTAATATGATATTCTCTCGTGTGATGTGAAGTAAGCCAAACGCCAAGCTCTGACCACAAATCAAATTCTAGTTTATATCAATCAAGTTACAACAAGAATGTCGAACATTCCTACAGTTTTTTTTTTTGCTGGAAATTTGATGAATTAAATTCCCTTTTTTTGTTTTCACGTAGCTAGCTTTCGAACTTGTCAACCATTATAACTTGTTATTTTAATTGCTAAAATGAAAAAAATTGAGAGGTTTCCGTAAGTGTGAAATGTAATTAAATACAAAAGTCGAGTTTGTTCACCATAATAAAATTTCTTCCCTCTGGAAAAAGGTTTTCATTAATTTTTTTATTCGTACACTCTTCATTTATGGAAAGTTCTCGTAACCTTTACTTTTAACCCTTTTTCGCTGTAATGTAAAAGTGTAATGTTATTAGCAAGTGTTTTCTTTGTCTAGGAATGAAATATAAAAAAGTAACTCTTTAATTTATTTTATATGTCAATTAACTTGAGTTAAGCGAAAAGTCTGATAAAATGTGAAAAAATCGGAAGACAAATACTGACTTATGCGGTATTTATTATTCCATCATTCCTGTCTATCACACTGGAAGAGCTTACAGGTAGCATACATGTTTGTATGTGTTATTAATTAGTTTGATTGCTTCGACGCTTAAAATAATTGTTATTTTATAAATGTACGAAATCCAATTTTGGAAACAGGGCCTAGCAACAGAGTACTTTGGTGTTTTCTCTTTAAAAGAAGTCAATTATAGTACAGAACCTGAATCTGACGGCTATGCCTTCAACTATAAAGTACTTCAATAAATTATATTATTATTATATTATTAATTTTCTCACTGGTTTCACGTTGTTTAAAATATATTCAGTATTTATACAATTTAAAATACGTCATTTTAAAATACTTACCAAATAATTTCGTGGTTGCTCGCAGTGAATTTCAATTTTTAATTATTATGTGAAACTAATCAACGTTATTAAAGTTTAAAGTTCGTCTATAAAATAAACTAGCAACACAAACTCAGTAACATCAGTTTTCCGAGACAATTTAATTTAGCAATAATAAAAGGAGGTACTTTACGATGTGCTACGTCTAGACTCACATAAAACATCTAAAATGTAATAAGGTAACTGGGAAACTTTTATAGGAAACTGCTGGATGTTAGATTTCAGATATCAATATCTTTTTATGGCCCTTCGTTACTGAAACTGAGTGTAAACAACTCTATGAATGTATGAGATGTTAACAACTACGAATTGTACTTTTTGAGCAATCACGTTCTCTTGTTATTTTAATGTTGTAAATTAATTGTCATGATAAGAGAAATGAGTAAAGTTTTTATAATAATTGAAACCATTTAGTTTCCATTATGAAGTAAAGTTACATGTCATAAATCACGCAGCAGTCTCAATACATTCCTTTTCCATTTATCACAACCATTCGATACAAATCTACACTAACACAAAATGACAACCCCGACAAAAGCATCAATAGGAAGTATTTTTCTAAAAGCTGTCAGATTATGAAGCAGGCAATATTGTATATGGGCAATTTTAAAAAGTATTTATAGAAAGCCTATTCAGTTTAATCCCTTGCTGAGGGATTTGATTGGCTGTTATTTTGTTCAGCCATCACAAAGCTGACATGATATTTGTTAGCGCATTGATTGGTCAGCTGTGAAAGGTTTATCAAACGCTGATGAAGCCGTGCATTAATAAGGAGAGAAACGCATGGCATTGATTATATGAAGCAGAAATTTTAACCTTAGTTAATGCTTTAGAAACTTACTCTACTATTGCACATAAGTACACAAACTCAGTACATGTACTTACTGGTCACTTATAATATAAAAAATAAAACACATACTTAAACAGGTGTACTTCCCCAATTTTGTAAAAAACTTCATTATTACGATATTGAATGTTAAATTCGACAAATGCAAACTTAAACAAAAGTTAGCGAGGTATCCCAGATAACACACTTCCAAGTCAATATCGCTAGATAAACAATATAAATCGACGGATAAACAAACATAAAGTTAGTAAGTAATATATGTGTAATAACAATCGAGGTTTCAATCTACTTGAAAGCCTATAACCACGAGCGAAGCTATATATAATATTTAACCTATATGCTGTTATGCCACATTGCATTATTCATGGACTATTTGAGAGGGATAAACTACGAAAACAATATCTAACTGTAACGTCGGTATAATAAATTCATATTGGCGTAGGGATGCTCTGTTATTGCGAAAGAATGTTTATTTCTTGTAACTCGGGTAAGCATGCTAGTGATGCTTTTGTATGTAATGGCTCATAACATTTGTATACATATTTTTTAGACATTTCTGTGAATTATCTATAACTTATAGCACCGATTAAATGGTACAACTGACCCATTCTATTTTATTATAACCAGCAAAATCTTCAGGACAGTAACGTTTATTGTAATAATGTAGGATGGTATTTATTTATCCTCGACAGTTTATTTATTTGAATGTTCTATTTTTATTGGTTTCTATTTGATTAAAACATTGATTTGCTTATTCTTTTGTGGGACATTGTGGTCATAGAGTTTGATAAAAATATTCTTTGTGAGCGATGTTTAGGTTTTTTATCTATTTCTTGCATTGTTCTCGATAACATATAGAAGGTGTGTACAATCACAGGCGTGCAGATGCACAGACCGGGTAACAGTACCGCAGGCGGACATTGTACCTACTAACTGCAGACTAACATTTCCAAGTTGCTATCAAAGTTTTCCTGGTATGGACAAAGTTCCACCGAATTCCTATCCGGGACTAGAAGACCAGAACCAAATTAAACACGACTATCTACTTTTATATTTGATTGACCGTTCTGCTATTTGTATAGGTAACTACTTACGTGCTTCACATAATGAATTTGAAGGAAAATATGCCTACTTGGGAAAGTACACCGAATGTACGTTGTTTATGGAGCGGCGTTCTTAGTAGTATAATTGTTGCAATATAATTGCTATACAGCTTACAGTATAAGTAATTATAAGTACCTAATTATAAGAGGTTCAGTCTCTACGTCACGATATTATAAAGTGAGGAGATGGTTTATCATCTTCCTTTTGCTGTTCATTTGTAGGTTCTTATTAAATGTACAGAAAAAAAACAACTTCAGAGACTTCACTTTAGGAAAAAAATGTTTGATGTTTTTCTTTTGTTTTTTTTTTGTTAATACTTGTATGTATTTTAGTATGAAAGCCGTTGCTCTGGTTATGGCTCTCACACGCGTGCAGTTTATAAAATATGTGTGCGTATGCGCTATAGTCGCACACCCGCGTGAATTTTTTACATATCTTGCCAAGATGAGAAATTCCTGAAGTACTGGTGTATTATACCAACCCGTTGAGAGATTGTTTTTATATTTATATTAAAACTTTCGCGCCACATACTAATTAATTATTACGTTTTTGGCTTACTCACGTAATTGTTTGACGAGGAACTCGACTAGTTTCTACCGCGACAGTCGCCGCGTCGCGGGTCGCGGGATGCTGCTCATGAATATGAGCCTCTAGCATGGCTTGAAACTAGTCGAGTTCCTCGTCAAATAGTTACGTGAGTAAGCTGAAAACATAATAATTAAATGTTTTGAAGTGCTACTTACCAAAAATTTATTAAAACGAGCACAAATTTTAAAAGGTTCATCTTCTGCTACTCATAGAAGGCCCATATACTCCAGTCACAGAGGCAGTCAGCAGTCACATAGGCTGATGACGAATTAAACACGAAGTTTTTATGAAAGGATACAGTTATTACATATTTGGTTTTGATTTTTGTTTACAATTGCACTACATATTCAGAATACTATAGAAAAATAACAAAGAATGAAAACTGCAAATATTAATTCACAGCCGTACCTAACAAATGTTATTAAAATAACAAATATGAATGAACTTGATACGCGCATTGTTGTAGACTCCATGATATTATTAATATTAAAACTGTACATTTTCCATTGTTTTTATTTGAAAGGTTTATGTGAATATGGAGGTATGAATAGACGTATATGCACGTTTATTACTCGTTCACATAAAAACTACTGAATGGATCTAAAATGAATTTTGGCACTGAGAATACAGATATAAATAACACATTGGCTACTAGTGCTAGGTACTACTGTCCAGCACGATTCGCGAAGTGATCTTTCTGTGCAACGTGTCGCGGGTTCGATTCTCTCATGGAACAACGCTTTGTGTGTCCATAAATTGTTGTTCCTGGTCTGAATGGATTGTGTATGTGAAATTGGATATTTATAAATACACCACGACACAGAAGAAAGTCTTAGTATGAAACGTTTATGTTACGAAAAATACTTTAATATACAGTAGGTACTATTTTACTTCAACATGTACAGATTTTACATTTCTTTAAAATGTGTAAGCGACTTTCAGTGTGACGTCAGCTATGCACATTCCATGTTACACTGTTGCATATGAAAGTCACTGTAATTGAAAAAGATTTCCCTGAAAAATGTGTGCAAAACTGCAAGGCTTTAGTCATGCGCATATTCAGAGGATCTCGGCCAGCTTAGACTTTCAGTGAAGCAAAGACACATCACTGAAACTCACATTATATGGGAAACCGTTTAAACTTGCTGCACATTAATTATTCATTCATATATTGGAATTTGTAACTTTCGTAGCAAATTACTTTTTAATCAATATCTTACAAACGATTTTCGGTAAAACTGCACTTTGAAAATGTCGTATTTAGCGTCTAATTCATTGCGTTACACAATTTTAGTTTTATCTGAAACAGTACTGTTTTCTTAAAGAACTATGTAGTCCGTTGACAAAGTTCTAGATTTTCATAATTTTTACATATTTTGTAAAAAAAAACTTTTTACTAAAACTATTTTTAATATGCACACTGCATTGTACTCGTGTTCTCGTCATAACATCGTCTTATTATGATGTCTCTTCACACTTTTTATTCAGGTTTT